GGCCAAGGCAATTGGGCTAGACACTGGAGATCTTGGGGTCCTTTTGTCCCAATTTGAGCGGTCGCGTGCCTTTCTTTTCCAAACCCCGCGCTGCCGTCCTCGAAGCTTTTCCGAATATAGCAACTGTCCATCTCGATATGCTTGGCGGCGGCCATAGGGATGAGCGCTGCTGCACCCCAGGTCGGCAATGCAGTGCAAGGGCAGCAGCCCTTGGTGACGACGGAGTGTGGTATATGTGCTGGAGGGGGAGGGGGGCCATGGTCTATAATGGAAGCGTGTCATCCCATCATACGGCCGCTGCGACCCATCACGAGACCCCCAACAGGCGTGCCCGGGTTTACCGTCCTTGGTGTTGGAGATATGCGCTGCTACCCAAAGCTTCACCTTTGCGCCCCGGCGGGCCAGCGAAACGGGCATGAGAACCAAGACGGGAAGGTGATGCGGATCATTCTCGTCGTTGCGACCAAGAAAGGGTCCCCGTTCTTGGCACGACAACTTTGGCTTGTAGGACAAATACATGACAACAAGTACATGACAAGAAGAAGACGGGATGTTCATGTATCTTCAAGCACTCTTGGAGGGAGGGGGGCCGTGTTGAAGAGTCAGAGTCAGAGTATCTCAGCTGCCTCGTGGAGAACCTGGTCAGAGCGGAATCGCAGCCGACGCCTCAAGCCACGGAGGAGTAAGCCATCTTGATAGCCACAACCAATGATGGGCAGGTATCGGAACGCCCGTCATCTCAGGTCTGAAAGATGGCGCCCCTTCCATCAAGGGACTGCCCTATTATCCGAGAGACGGCAAATGACCGAGATGCAACTCCACGCCAGACATCGAGGGGCGTCTTCTTCGGACATGGTCTATTGCGGTCAAATCCACTCCACCATCATCATCGTTGATGAAGCTAGCGTTGATCCAGAAGCTCAAGAGACCTCAATGTCGCAGTATGTGGCCGTCCCATTTGATCCGCCATCAAGTCTATTTGCCTCAGAAAGACCTTCCGAATTCACTCACATCTGCACGTATGACAAAAAAACGTGCTCCGGTACGACTGCCTACTTGTTGATTTAGGGCACTTCTTTGCTTCTGCCGACTCGCCGTTTCGCATTGGCTCTGGAAAGGGCAGGTAGTAATGTCTTGTTCGCACTGCTCAACGATGACATGCTCCGACCTCACCAAAGCAAGACCGAGGGCTTGGTTGGCCAAAGGCTAAAGGCCACATGTGCCTCGAAAAGATAAATAGCCCGGCGTCTTCTCTCGAATCCAAATGTACATTCAACAAGCTTCTACTTCATCCAGCAAGCAAAGTCTTTTCGACAACTTACTTACAAAATCCTCAAATTCTCATCACCTTGTCAAATATGCGTCTATCAATCATCGCTGCCGCTCTTCCCCTGGCCATTGCGGCTCCGGTCGTTGAGCCTGCTCCTCTCATCGAGGCCCGCGGGCAGACTATTGCCGGCAAGTACATTGTCAAGCTCAAGGACACCGCGACCATTGGTATCATGGATGCTGCATCCAAGGTGCCCAACACCGAACACGTCTATGAAAATGTCCTCAAGGGATTCTCGGCCACCCTCAACCAAGAACAACTTGACCGTCTCCGCCACGACCCTGATGTAAGTGCGCCTGTTCTCCTCGGACTTTTTGTGACTTTTTTTACTAATGAAATCGTGTCCCACGCGAATAGGTCGAGTCCATCGAGCAGGATGCCATTGTTAGCATCAACGCCATTGTCCGGCAACCCGGAGCTCCCTGGGGTCTAGGTCGCATCTCGCACAGGGCACGAGGCGCGACCACGTATGACTACGACTCGAGCGCCGGCGCGGGTACATGCGTATATGTCATTGACACTGGCGTCTATGACTCTCACCCTGTAAGCCCACACATACTTGCGGTGCCCCCCCACGAGAAAGCCACTAATTGAGGCATCAATAGGAGTTTGAAGGACGTGCCAAGCAAATCAAAACCTTTGTCAGTGGCACTACAGATGGTCACGGCCACGGCACACACTGCGCCGGAACTATTGGCTCCAAGACTTACGGCGTAGCGAAGAAGGCGTCCATTTTTGGCGTCAAGGTGCTCGAAGACAGTGGCTCGGGTTCGCTCAGCGGCGTCATTGCCGGAATGGACTTTGTCGCTACGGACCGGAAATCCCGTCCATGCAGCAAAGGCACCGTCGCCAGCATGTCCCTTGGCGGTGGCTACTCGGCCACCGTGAACCAGGCCGCCGCGCGTCTGCAGGCTTCGGGCGTTTTTGTCGCCGTCGCCGCCGGCAACGACAATAGGGATGCCGCCCAGACCTCGCCCGCCTCGGAGCCGTCCGTCTGCACCGTCGGAGCTACCGACTCGTCTGACCGCCGCTCCACCTTCTCCAACTTTGGAAAAGCTGTCGACATTTTCGCACCTGGCACTGGCATTCTGTCGACCTGGAATAATGGCGGCACTGTGAGTTTCTGTTTTGCATCACGCCGTTCAAATAAAACCTCGAAGCTGACTTTTTTTTGCCATCCTAGAATACCATCTCGGGCACTTCGATGGCCACTCCCCACATTGCCGGTCTCGGTGCCTACCTTTTGGCTCTCGGCAAAGGCACTGCCGGCAACCTCTGCCAAACTATCCAGACTCTCTCCACCAAGAATGTCCTTACTGGCGTTCCTTCAGGCACCGTCAACTACCTGGCATTTAACGGCGCCACCTAAGATTGACTAGCAGAGTGTTTCTCAGCCAGTATAAGGTCGGTTTTTGATGCCCTCTTCCCCGGCGTCGGCCGTTCCAATGTAGCTACAGAACCTCACAGACCTCGTGGTTACCTGGGAAATCAGGACGGGTATCATCTTTTTGCTTTCATCTTTTGCTACACATTGATTTTCGAAATAAGATTGCTTTCAGTTATACTATGACTGTGAATTAGTGAGACCTTGGGAAAGTGACTATATTGTCGCCACAACTGCGCTGTGCGTCGTTGAGAGGATCATGCATTCATTTGGTTATATACCGGTGGAATAGAGGCTATTTACTACGAGTTAAATACACAGATCAATGAGTTTTGTTATTTACGACTTAGATTGGTTCGAGAATTGCTAGTTCCGGGAGCCGCAGATTGAGCGTCTTGCCCTGTCGGATGGCTTCTCGATGTATCCGTAAAATGATACAGACATGGTCTTTCAATCTGAAAATGTTTTCTCGTATCACTTTTAACATTTTATTGTATCTTTTCCTTTGTTTCAGAGTCAACAACAAAAAGGGGCTTATTTGCCATTCGCGACCATGCATCGAAGACTAAAGAATTAGCTTACAAGTAAGGAATACGACCCATCACAATCTTTTAGACAAGGTCTGAAGGGACTACAACTCTATAGCAGACCTAGACGTGAAACGTGCAAGTTACAGATGGCATTGGTTATCTAAGGTAGCGTTGCATAACTGGGCCTTGCCTTCTCAGGCACGATTGACTGAAACAGCTTTGCACCAAAAAAGGAAGCATACACCTATTTTGGAGTGGAGGGAAGGAGCCGATGGTAGTTTTGAATAGCCTTTTGAACCCCGAGCCTTGTCAGTCGTCAGGTCTAGTATAACATGGGATATATTAGCAACGCTGCCATAGACATACGTGGAAGAAGGCGCTTCTGTCGGTTTGTTGTCGTGATAGGGTAACGGGGTTGGAGGAGCACAACTACAGCATAACATACAGCTCCTACGAAAGAAAATAGACAAAAAAAGGTAGCTGCTGAGAATCCATACTCTGCGACAACTTGGCTACTGAGTGAGTCTATGTCTTGGCTTCATCAGTCAGGAAAGGCATCTTGGACAGCGACCGGCGCATACGGGATTTGAAGGCATTGCCCACAGAAGGTGTATACAATCGCAGATCATGCATAATGTGTCTATGTTGCAGAAGAGCGGTAGTTTTGCAACCAAAGGACGTATTAAATAATGCTTGCGTCGCTCAGAGAGTTCATGACAGCAGACATGGGCCTGTTGCAGCCCAACGCATATCAAATTTTGGTACGAAGTCGATGCATCGGATCATTCGGTAACAGAACATCACCTCAGACCATCAAGGTGCTGCTGGAGGGATGCGCAGCCCTTCATCAAGCTACCAACGCCACACAAACCGCCATGTACATGGCCGAGTCCCTACAGTTTATGAGAGAGCTGTAGTACCTCGTATCGTAATTGCCGAATCAATTGCTTTTGGGCTTTTGAAGGATGCAGTACCCTGGACCGGAGCGTCAAGACCGACCTAGACTCGTTGAGCAATGGCAGCTGAAGCCTTGATGGCAACTAAATCTCACGCAAGTTGGTGGCTTGACATCAACAAAGTGGCAGTCTCGGCAGAGATTGATAAGATTTCGGGCATCCGCGGGCGTTGATCACGTCAATGGTCATGTCAATTCGCATTAATGTCGGCAGTGTTTGAATCGGTAACTGCACCCGGTGAAGGGGGGTGGAGAATTGCCTACCATCTACAAAGTTTTGCAAAGCACAGCCTCTCAATTACGGACGCGGACAGACTAGGAGTGCGGATCAATCAATAGTTGATGCTTGTGGGTTTTAAAGGGGTGGAACGAACATGGTGTTCATGGCGCACATTGCTTTGATCTACGCAGGCATGCAGGTTACTCTGAAGCGTAGGACGGGGCAGCATCGGCCGAGTGGTGGTCGAATCGGCCAAGCATCAAGGGCACAGTCTCACCGCAGTTTTGGCAACGGCCTGCCTTTTATGAATGTGCTCATTGTTTTCTCACTAGGTTTTTCCAAGAAAGATCAACGGGCGCCATGCGTGCGGACGAGATTAAACACGTGAGAGTGTGCTGTTGCCACGAGCCTGTCGGACTTTTAGCTAGCCAATACCCAAAGAGGCAGGTTGTAAGATCGGAGGCCAACAGGATCGCCAAGTCGATGGTGGTTTGATGCAAGTTCGATTCGGTGCCGAGCCTGGTCAAGACGCGGGCCGTTGGGCGGCGGACACTGCGAAAGAATTATCCAGCTGTAGCAAGCACAACCAGACGGGTTACCGATACAACCTATGATGGCAGCCCTGGTAGATCATCTGTCTTTTTTTTTTCCTGAAAAAAAAAAAAAAGAAAAAAAAAGGTTAAAAAAAGAAACAAGTTGAAAATGAGGGGAGAAAAGAGTCCACATAACTGGACACGGGTACCAGCTCCGGCGCAGCACTGAGGGAGTTGGGGAGTTACAAAGCTTCGAGCCCACAGTGGGCAAGTATACCCACCGCCGCTGCACGAGTTGCAAGCTGCTGCCTTGTCGTAAAGATGATTCAAGCATTGGACAGCATATACAAGTCGAGTAAAAGCCATTCCAATTGCCAGCGTGGCACGGACAAGTGACTAGTTGAGAAAGAGGTTAATTGTTAGTGAGTCAACGGCAAAACGGGGTCGAATCTGTGGTAAGCCTACGCTAACTTGTTCTGTACATTTTCACGACGGCAGCAATTAAATAGTATGTATGACTGGCTCGTGGCGCTAACTATGACTATAACTCTTGGACGCTGGAAACGACCGCGACAAGTGACAGTGACTGCCCGACTTGGATCTTTACTTAGCACATGCTCGTCGTTGGCCAGCACTTACATAGGTACAACGAGCCAAAGTGGCAGTGTAGCGAGCAGCCTTTAGCAATTTCCAGGCAGACGATTTACTCGAGTGCCATGTGGAACCTTACGGACACAAAGGCCTAGTTCCCACCCCCCCCCCCCCCCCCCGTGCCGACGGTCCAGACGGACGTCGGGTCCGCACGCCGTCACCCCATGCCGAAATAAAAAAAAATCTCGTCCTCTCTTTTATTTAGTTAAAAAAAAAGAAGGAAAAAAAAAGCAACATCATTTCTGCCAGAGAACTTGAGCCGGTATCAACCTCGAGAGTTTACCTTCTATCCCCCTCCTTGGTCAATTCTTACGACCCCCTTGGCTTACAATACGTAAAAACAATACAAGGAACGTCTGATCATCGTGTCCACATTACCGGGACTAGCAACACCCCATGTTATGATTGGGGCAATACCGGTGACTAGGAAAAGTCTCGTGGAAATAGCAACGTCAACAAATTCAATGGCTCACTCAAGCGTTCTCTGATTGGAGACGAAATTTTTCAGGTTCAAGCTTTTTCCTGCTGGAGGGGTCCATTGGCATCCCTGCCCCGCTGGATCGTAAAGAATTTGGTCAGCGAGTAAAAAAGTTTGGTTGCGAAAAAAAAAAAAAAAATAGAGCATATGGGCGGACATGTATGTACTTGGGCTCCGTAACGTTTATTTCGTCGCTACTCGTCAACCCTTCAGGTACTCCTGACCAGATTTCGGGCGGACTGACAACATGAGTGCATCAATTGGATCATGCATTTTCCAATAGACGAAAAAAAGCCTGTCTACATTCCATTCTGAGTCTTATTCTGACGGCTTGCGACACAGTCATGTGTCCTCGAAAATTGGGTAGTCGAGCTGACGAAACCAGTGACGCATCGCACGCGCAGCCCTCGTGGCTCGCTGCCTTGCAAGGGACCACCAACGAACGCCTCAAGGCGTCGTGACATGTAGTGGTCCGAGACGGGTTTTTGTACGGAAAAAGACGTTGTTTTGCAAGGCAGCCGGGCAACCCGGGCAATAGCTCGTCTGATGGGGGGTGGGGAGCATGGCTAGGCAGCACAGGGCAGCAAATGTCAATCTGGCGTTGCCTGAAGTCGTCGTCAAACAATGCTTGTTTGACGCTCGTTTGCCTCGCATCAGTGAGTTCAGGGCCCAGAGCTGCCATCCAAATTCGGAACACGCAGACGAGTCACGATTCCTACTCAGCCCTGCGAGAGCCCTACTCCGGCCGACGCGCAAACTTGACGAAACTGGCTGTCGCAACAAAATTACCAAAGTGTCAGGTTTGTTACGCGCCCAGAGGGCAAGCACCGATTCCATTCATTGGGCACTTGATGATATATGGCGGAGTAGAGTGTTTGACCGCCGTTTATCGTCCGTCACGTAACCGCCGTTTGCCGTTGTGAGACTGCGTTGCGCATCATCACATCACATCACACCAAGTCAACGGTCGACACGATATCGTTTGTGCCAACTAGGCTGCTTCCATGCACGTCTACGCACGACGCCCTTGTCACTGGTGTGCGCGGCCTTCACGTACCATACATGACGACTCAGTGCTCATCAGGCAGCCGGATTGATACCTAGCGCCTCGTGGCTTTTTCTAGTGCCTCTCAGCCTTGCGTCGTCTATCCGCCGTGAGTCACCGTGCTTGGGCCAGCACAGTCACCCAAGGAGCAAAGAAAGGCCAGCTTTGTACTAGCCGCAATGGTGCGTAACTGATTTACTTTAATTTACTGGTGGAGGTTAGTAGCAAAATGAATAATCCTGCGTCATGAGCCCAAACAAAACGGTAGTACCAGTCACTCCTCTAGTCTAATCCACCATACCACGGTACCTATAACATACTATTAGGACCACAATTTTTAAGTAGTATATATAAACTATAGTAGGTCAAGTTCTCACTATTATTTATATTGCCTTATAAATAGGCTAGAATATAGCCTAAATATATATAATAGATAGAAAAGAAAGTATTAGTTAGTTCTATAACGTAGTTA